AAATGAAAGATAATTACTTTTTATTATATAATCAAGATCAAAAAAATACTTAAAATGATAAATTTAGCTAATATTTTGAGGGGGAATGAGTGGGAAGCCGGGGAGGGGCATAAAAAATTTTTCACGAAGCATTAAATTAAAAAAAATAATATTCGAAAAATTCCCAAAAATTTTGAAAATGGGTAAAAAGGACTTAAAAATCATTAAATTTTAAAAAAAGAGTCTAAAAAATTCAGTTATACACGATATAGTACTGGTTTTTGGTTTTTGAACCCTAAAAACGATACCCATCCAATTGAGATTTGATTATAACTAAAATTTACTAAAAAAAGCTCTAACCCATCTTACTTGTCGATTTTGATTTCAATCAATTTCTTTTTTTTTTTTTTCTATTTGTAATTTTTTTCCACCTACCCTTACTCCCTTCCGTCTAATTAATTCCTTTTAGCCAGCAAATAAATTGTAATTCTGAAGATTCCCAAAAGTCGTTGCTTTTCAAAATGTCTGCTTCAGTGATCAGTGTAATATCACATGGCCCCGCCATTAACTTGGTGCACTTGTTTTGTTATGATACATCATACATCCATTGTTCTTTGCTCCGGGCGTGGCTCTATAAAAATGAGAAGAGTAATGATAATGAGACGTAGGGAGCTATATTGTATTGCACCAAAACAGAGATGGAGAAGGCAAGCTCCGATCAGGTGGTTATCAATATGGACCAAAATGGAGCCGGCGATCCAAAGCCCCAAAACCCAATTAGAGCCAAAACCTTGGACCGCCTTAGCTTCTCCAAACCCAAAGCCAGATTCGTCGAGTACAACTTTCCATTCAGTGCTCAAAAACCAATTTTCGAGTCCAACGATATTGAGTCCCCCTTCGACGACGACGACGACGGCGACTCCTCTTCTGCAGATGATGATGATGAGGTGAACGAGGAGTTGGAGAAAGATAGAGGTCGAATGGGACAATCAAAGAACAGAAAAAGGAAGAAGAAGTTCAAATGGAGACTCTTGACTGAATGGGTCGCGTTTTTCATCATAATGACTTTCCTGATCTGTTACCTCACAATAGAGTCTCGGAAAGAGAAGCTGATTTGGGGTCTTGAAATCTGGAAATGGTGCCTGATGGTGTTGGTGACATTCTGTGGCCGTTTGGTCTCCGGTTGGCTGATCGGTCTGGCTGTGTTCTTCATTGAACGTAACTTCATGCTAAGGGAGAAGGTGCTGTACTTTGTTTATGGACTGAGGAAGAGCATTCAAAACTGCATCTGGTTAGGCCTTGTTCTTCTTGCATGGACATTCATGTTCAATGGCAAAGTTAAGAGGGAAAACAAAATTCTCAAAAAGGTACGCTTACTTAACCACTAATTTATTAGAAGTGCATGCAGCTCCAAACTAGTTGCTTCTAGATAAATATTTTCTTGTTAAGCTTTTAAATTGAATAGTTTTTATTAATTTTTTAAAATTTTTTATAATTATTACATATGAATTCATAATTCAGTATTTCTGTTCAAAACATGAGTACTTAATAACAAAAATTTCTTAGAAAGCTATAGTCCAAATGAACATGATAATAACGTATAACATCTGAATTCTCCTAATTTAACAGGTATTTAAGACATTAGTAGCGATTCTGCTTGCTGCAACCATATGGCTTATGAAGATTGTGTTTGTGAAAATTTTGGCGTCGTCATTTCACGTGGCGACCTTCTTCGACAGAATGAAGGAAAGCGTTTTCCACCATTACATTCTGGATACGCTCTCCGGGCCGCCGATGGACGAACAGATCATTAAAAATCACAATCACCTAAGTGAGTCGAAGACGCTGCCGGCCAATTGGAAGGATGCGAGGAGCATTTACAAGTCCAAGAAGTATGGCTCGAGGAAAATTGATATGGAGAAGCTAAGGCAGCTTAGCATGGAGACACGAGCCTCGGCATGGAGCATGAAGAGGCTTGTTTCCTACATAAGGTCGTCTGGACTGTCCACCATTTCTAGGACCGTGGATGATTTTGGAAAGGCAGAGTCGGAGATCAATAGTGAGTGGGAGGCTAGGAACATGGCACGCCGGATTTTCAAGAACGTTGCTAAACCGGGTGCCAAGTAAGTTCACCTATCTCTCTTTCCACAATTCCACAAACAAATTTTCAAACCTTGGAGAAATGTGAGGGGGAATTATCTCCTCATATCCTTACCAACCAAGGCAATTGATAGACTTAATTAGAGCCAAGTTGAGGGACAAAATTAGTACCAAGAGATATCAATTTGCTAGTGAAAAGACAAATTTGATACTAAATTAGAAAGTCTAGGGACCAAAAATATGTCAAATTTGTTAAATAGCAAATTTGGTAAAAACACGTGCAGTTGAAGAACCACAAAAAGTACCTAAGCACTACTTTTGTTGTGTGAATCCATCCACCACAACAAAATGGGTCAATGATGTGTTTGAGAGCTGCACATTTCTTTTATGATGCATTGGGATATACTCTGTGGTCCTACATCCACTAGAACTAACGTACAAAATAATGCATGCGCGCTTCCTTGAACTTCACATGCTTCCCAATTTAAGTGGCACCCTGCCTGGACCACCATAGCACCAACACCCCACTCCCAAGCTATACCACCAAACAGCACGCAGTATGGTTTGAGTGGCACAAATTAAAGTGGCAATCATCATAACTTGCAGTACCATATCTTTGAAATGAATAGCTAGCTAAGATATATCTACTGT